TCCAGATTCTCTCACCAAGATTCCATAGAATCCGTAAGTCGACACTTTTCTTTACACCCTTGATTGAATTTATACTTGTGAGGGAGGGAGACGATCGAATTGCCTTACTGACCGGTTTCCTCGGGTCTTTTTTATACTTTCAGACAATGCCATTTATGAATCAGATATCAGATCCATTTAGCAATCACATTTCGCAACTTAGCAGCTCGGCTTCTAAGCTTAGTGGATTCAATAGTAGTTTATTTGATTTCGCGAGCCAAGGAATGTCCCCGTCTCGTACGCAACCACTACCAGCATCTCCATTGGTCAATGCATTTTCCATTAGTCCAAGTAACACAGGATCGTTGTCTGAGGTTAGAGTTTGCACGTTGTTTAATAACGTTCTTCTCGCATCGCACGCGAGATGCGCCTCGCGCAAAGTCGTATAAAATATACACAGTGTCGTTATATGCAAATACGCAGGTACAAAGGCTCAGAGAGGAATTGACGTCGAGCCGTGCTCAGCTGGCGACATGGGACGAGCGTATTAATCAGGCGCGCGCGGCTTGCGCGGCGTGGCAGTTGGAAAGCGAGGAGGCGAAAAGGAAAGCCACGATCGCCGAACAGCAGCGGGATGAGGTGAATATCTCGCCTTACAGAACCGACCGAGCTCCCCTCGTGATGTCGAAATCCAATTGAGTGATTTATTCCAGAATATGGATTCTTTGCAGGCTCTAATGCAAGTAAAAGCACTTAGGGTCGAAAATGAGGCGTCCAGCGGCGGCCCGTTTCTCCATACGGTGAAACGCATAAATGAGCTCAGATCACTATCAATAGCTACCTTGAAATCGATTCAGTCGCAATTACGCTCAGATCTCGAGGAAGTGGAAAAGGTAAGGTTAAACGATTTCATTGACATACCTTTGAAAGTCTGGCGCATTTTCATATATAGGGTAGTCCCGTTTTAAATGAGCCAGGCAACAATCTCGGAAAATATGAAAGATACCAAGAAACGTTTCAGATAAAAGTTGTATGATTTCAAAAAGGACGCGAAACATATATATCGTTTGCATCATTTATATATCATCTATATCATTTTGTTTACAGATGACACCACTTTCGAGATAATCACTTTTCAGATCATTACTTTTCTCAAATAGAAACCCCAATTTTTTATTATATTATCTTTTTCTACCAATTAATTTGAACAACTTTTGTCTGAAATATTTTTTTATTTGCCTAATATGTTTTTAAGGAAAACTTGACAGCTTTTTCAATATTTAACTCGATTTCTTCTCGTGGTTTGTCAGAAAAAAAGTAGTACTAGATTCTTTTATTCTATTTGGTCTCAAGAATATATATCGTTACAATAGCGCCCTGATTTTTGTTAATTTGATGATTTTGAAATTTCCAAAAGCCGATAAGTTAACGAAAGTTGGAGCACTATTTTAACAATATATTCTCGAGACTAAATAGAGTAAAAGAGTCTAGTACTATTTTTTCTTTTGACGTAGTTAGCGAAATATCGTAAATTGAATGTTGAAAAAGTTGCCAAGCTTCCCTTAAAGATGTCAGAAAATATTAGGCAAATAAAAAAATGTTTTAGACAAAAGTTGTTCACATTAATTGATAGAAAAAGATGACGTAATAAGAAATTGCTAATTCCTTTTAAGAAAAGTAATGATCAGTAAGTATCTCGAAAGTGGCGTCATCTGTAAACAAAATGATAGTTATTTCATGTCCCTCTTGAAACCTCTTTTGTCTAAAATGTTTCCTAGTATCTTTCATATTTTTCGAAATTTTTGCCTGGCTCATATTAACACGTTGACTGCCACGGAATTTTTCACGATTCCGGTCTAAAGAGCCAATTTGATTTAATCATGTTATATTATTAAAAACTTTAATAATAGTACATAGTAATAATCAAAAAGCTAGTAATAATAGTACATAGTAATAATCAAAAAGCTTAAAAATATTTTTTTATTTTTTTTAAACATTTTTTATTCTCTTTCCTAAGGCCATCTATTCATATTTACACTGTTATGCTACGAGTTTCCTCGTAGCTGTACAAATATGGCAAGTAATGAAGGGACGAGATAACTCGTAGTTAGGCGTCCTGGGCAAGTAAACAACCTACGAGATATCTCGTAGTTGGCAGTCAACGTGTTAAATAGGGCACCCTGTATTTCGTCAATAACGTCAATTTCACATTGTTCCGTTCGTTTTTCAGGTGCTGTATAGGGAAACAGCCACAAAATGTATGGTTTGCGAAGAACAGAATCGTACGGTTACCCTATCACCGTGTAATCATTATGTAGTCTGCTCGACGTGCGCTCCAAATCAACGCGAGTGCCCGTACTGCCAGACACCAGTCGTCTCGACAAGTTAGGTCCGAATTTTTTCTCTTAGAATCCCGTTACATTTCCGCTTCTTTCGTCATTTTAAAAGGGCAGTCTCTAAAAATATCATGTGAGTAGTATCACACAATTTCGCAAAGACATATATATATATATATATATATATATATATATATATATTTAGTATATTCTAAAAACCGAACATTTCTCTTATTACCGCGATTACATAAACTCAAATAAATCTTAAGAGTACGATTGAATGATCGCCAAAGTACGGAGTACGGAGTAGGAATTCAAGCGTAATCTCTCATTACGCGTCGTATATTACGTTGACATTTCCCTTCTAATATACACCGTTGTGTGTGTGAGTGACGTCACACTTTTTTAATCTAAATACGAGAAGCGAGTTATTGATCCTAAAAAAACAAGAAGATATTTTATTTTATACACGATTCGAAGGACACATTTAGCAAGGTGTTAACTATGGTACGGTTAGCATTTGAAACGCTCACGCGGTACGCGCGTGTTGCAGGACATTTAGCGCGGAAACAATATAATCGCAGTTGTGGACAAAGTTTTGGGACCTCGAGAATTATATAATTGTTTAAAGAAATTATACTAATAATATTAATAAACGCAACATAAGTCTCCCAATTTGCATTAATAGACACGGGAGCGTCATTTCTCGATGGTGAGCTGTGAAACGTATGTCACAGAAGATATTTCTATTTGTATTTAAATCTTATATATTTAATAGGATTTTCCAATTGATTCGCGCACGCTCGCGTACTAAATGTAATAATATAATAAGTATTAACAAATTTTATATTTTTCGTTGAAAACCTAATATTGAGGATATAGATATTATATATAAGAGTCATGTATATGTGTGTATATATAGGACATATATACATACATATATATATATATACACATATATAATTCTAGGTTTTTATATCAAATAACAAAGATTTCTCATAATTATATGTACACATATATATAAATATATGAACAAATATTAAATGTGTGTGTGTGTGTGTGTGTGTGTGTGTGTGTGTGTGTGTGTGTGTGTGTGTGCGCGTGTGTGTGAGTGTGTGTGAGTGTGTGTGTGTGTGTATGCGCGCGCGCGTGCGCGTGCGCGTATATACATACATATATATACATATGTCTATGCATATATATATATGTGTATATATATATATATATATATATATACACACAACACGCACGCACACACATAAATATAACAACGTACCATGGGAGTATGTAAAACAACCGAAATAAGTAGTACTAAATAATTTTATTACGTGAAAGGTATTATGTATATGAATATATACATTATTTATTTTTTACTCGCCCGCGTTACTACCGCGTATTTCCTTTCTATCTTTTGTTTCCGTTTCCTTACTCTTTGTCATTTTGGCTGAGTACAATAACGTTAGGATTGATTAGAATTTACAATTCGGATGCTTTGAAATTCTAGCAACGACAACAATAACAATATTAAACATTTTTAACGGTATTTATATAAATACACTCTTTCTCTCTCATTCTGTAACGCCGCTTTTGCTGCACATCCGTTCTAATACCTTTTGTGAGACAATTCACTTTTAGATTTTAAATATGCTTAATTGTGTGTATTAGTACTTGCGATGGAGTTATTAGACATTCAATTAAATAGCGTGTGATAGTAATAAAAAAAAAGATTAATCTTCAAACAATTATTCAATTAGATTACTAAACCAGTTATTCCCATTTCGTGTTGTCTTTTACAATTTAGATGTAAGGGATGTTAGAGATATTTAGGATTTTTCAATTTAATCAAAAAAAAAAAGGAGAAAGAATAACTCATGTATACACACGCATTCACGAATGTGTGGATGTGGATATGTGTATGTATGTGTATGCGTATATACATATGTATATGTATATAAATGAGGCAAGTCAAACGTGACATACGTGTTACAGTTCAACGCATGCTCGACAAGTGGTATGCGTACTTTTCCGACAAAGACGTCTAAGACACGTCTATATACCGGCTCTACGCGCATATTCATTTTAAAGATGTAGTTGTTAAATCTATGATAAAAAATGACTATATACTTACGGTGTGAGAAAATTATATATACACACACACACATACACACACACACACACACACACACACACACACACACACACACATATATACACGTATGCATATATATGCGCATGTATGTATGCATACATACATGTGTAAATATATATGTATGTATATACGTGTGTGTGTGTGTGTGTGTGTGTGTGTGTGTGTGTGTGTGTGTGTGTGTGTGTGTGTATTGCCTAAGATATATAAACGATTATAGGATAGATAGGACAGCTATCAAATTTTTTCCTTATAAGAAAATGAAATGTTACAATAATCAATTTAAAAGAAGGTTCGATTATTTAATATATATATATTTGCAATTATGGAGTTTAAATTCGAGTTTGATACCCCGCACAAAAGGGAAACGTGTCACAGCACTTTTACACGACACTCAAAGCCGTTTACTAGAGTTCGTAGAATTCAATAATCGGATAATCAATGGAGTTTCCTTTCGAATTGTGTTTTAACGCGTAAATTCTCTCCGATACGACGGGGTATTGTGTCAGACATCACTGTGCGGATTTTTTGTACGTACACAACAGACCTAGTTGTTATTCTTGGTTTGTCGCTTTTCTCCTTTCTCTCTCTCTCTCTCTCTCTCTCTCTCTCTCTCTCTCTCTCTCTCTCTCTCTCTCTCTCTCTCCCCCTCCCCCCCTTAATTACCTTCATAGTTTAGTGTCAAAAAGTGAGGCCAAAAAAGAAGCAAATGTTTTTATTACATCAGTTTTTTATATTACAGATTATTAAAATATTAAAATATAATAGATGTTATTGCAAAAGAAAAAAATTACGATTTCTCTATTATGGTATATATGGTCTAAAGATACCGTTTTAAAAAGACTAATGCTAAAGTAATAGGATAACGATTATTGAAATGTGACTTTCTTTAGCACATGCTTTGTACCGTTAATTACATTAATTGAGACATAAGAAGCGAACATAAAGACAAGGTCACTTTGATGATTACTTGCATCTTCTTCGACATTTCAATATAAAAGTCAAAAATGTATTCTTTGTTCATCCCTTCTCTTTCCCCCGTGGCCGTCTTCTTTTCCGATCGGCGCAAGATCTCGGTACACTTTAGATCGATGTTTTAATTTTCTCATAGAGGCCGCATATACCATAACATCATTTTTGAAGTACTATTTAGAACTTAAGAGATTGAAACATTATGATGAAGCATTTTTTGCGTTTATGCAGAGAGCATTCTTTATAAGTACGAGAAAATGTTCATTTCGCCAGCCGGCGCTCTTCCTGAATTGCAAATTTTTTCGTTACGCGTGTGATAAGCATTATCAGATTTGCCTTTTGTGAACAAAGAAAAAAAAAGGAAACTAGGACGCCACAAAAGCCAGTCAGGATCATACACTTCTCGACTCACCGAGTTGACGCGCGACAAGTGATAGAAGAAATTTTCGATTAGTATACAAAATTACAATAAACGACGAGACAAAGAGATCCTCGGAAAGGAGTACTTATAAAGAATGCGAATTTTCATGATATTCCGCGATCGAAATTTCTTCCTCGCATTTGTATCTGTAAGAGAACAAAACGTTCCAAACAATGGGATCATATCCGAAACGTAAACAAAGACGCTTATAACTCCTTTGTACCGTTATTATGGGAAAAAATCCGCGAGACGAAAAATTGCGTTTTCTAAAAATGATCGGAAGGAAGTTGCGATCGCGAAATTAGTTTAGAGGACGGGAGTTTAGAGATGATATTCCTCAATATAATAGGGTTATACGAATATTACAAACAATTATAATATTGTACTATTTTACTTCTAACAATAACACACACACACAATTAAAATATATATATTAAGAATATAAATTATTGTGAAAGCAACAAATTTAGCTACAAAATAGGATAATAGGAGAGTAACAAAATGAATGATTAGCTAATATTATATATCGTGTAACAGAGGGGAAAAAAGCATACAGTTAAATATTTATATACTGCTACCCGGTTGTTGGTTTCGATCGATATCTATGTCTGCTATACTTTCGAGAACAATTGAAGATATACGGACGCGTTAATGTGCGCTAATTAATTATTGTATGTGTAAAAGTCGAGTCGAGTACCGAGTCGATTTCTTTATGATCGCGCGCGCGCGGTGCGACATGTTAGTTTTTATTATAAATGCAAATTACTAAAGATGGATGTATTGTGTCGATATAAATGTATCTGTAGAACAACGTTATTCGAGCTCTATGCTGTTATTGATGTCTCGAGCGGGTACCGTAATAATGCTTTCCGATTAGTTTTATGAAATTGTAAAGGTCTCGTTGACAGTTATCGTGTACGCTTGCGAACGTGATTTCGGCTCTCGGCACACGTTCGACGCTTTCGTTTCCATTGTACAAAGAGAACCAACAATAGGGCGGATTAAATTGAACACTATATTTTTGACAAGTTACAATATATAATACGAATACAAACGTTACATGTTCTGTCTTGTGCGAATGATTCTTCCTCTCTTCTTCTTTTCTTCTTTTTCCTCCCCCTCCTTCTCTTCTGCTTTGCGATTTGTCACGGCCGAGAAGGTCGCGTCTCGATTTCGTTCGTTTACGCACTAGTTGAGAGATAATTGTCCGTTGTCGTTAATTTTCGTGACGTGCGCGGGAGGCGAGAGGGGAAACAGCAGTCTCGCGGATTTCGTAATTTGCCGAGGAAGAATTATCAGCACAACCGAAACATAAGAAAAAGCATACACATAATCACTAGAATATTGTATAATAACGAATTGCGTAAAATTGTAATATGTAACATCTAAACGAAATTTGCTGAACATTTATATCACGATTTATAACTAAAGATACTTGCTATAAACCTGTGTCGTCTTTAATCATTCGTAATTTTTTATATATATATAACGGTCGCTGCATTTGTTTTCATTTTCATTGTGACATGACTGAGATTGATCCTCGTTGTAACTTAAGTATCGCAAAATGACTTTGTCGTACGTTCGTAGCGAGACACATGTGTGTTATTGATTTGCAAAGACACTTGCTCAATGTTCGCAAAAAGGAA